AGTAGACCGGCCCGGGCGGGGGGGGGGTTCTGAGCCACGTGGCCCCTAGGGAGCAGGCAGACCTGGGCGGGTCTCTGCGGGACGGTGCGGTTGCTGGCGCGCTAACCAACCCCCGCCTGCATTCCAGGGGGGCCCGGTGCACAGAGGTGATCCCGGTGGAGGGCCAGGTCACCTCCCTCCACATCAGCCAGGACCAGATGCACCTGCTGAGCTGCTCCAGGGACAACACGCTCAAGGTCATCGACCTGAAGATGAACAACGTCCGGCAGGTGTTCCAGTGAGTGGGGGAGGGGGGCGTGATCAAGACCCCCCCACCCAGCAAAGAAGCCCCTTGGCTGCCTGAGCCAGGTGTGGCCTGACTGGTTTCCCACCCCTGCCCTCCTCGGGTGTGATGCCGTCCCCTCTGCCAGGCCCAGGCCTGTTCGGTCCTCCTCCTGCACCGACCTGCGGATTGCACCAGTCCTCAGGCTGCTGGAAGGATGGCGTTCTTTGGGGGAAACTGAGGCACTGGGGGGAGTGACTTGCCCAGGGTTGCCCAACAGGCCCAGTGGCAGTCAGGAATGGAACCCAGCCCTGTGTCCTGCCCTCCCGCAGCACGAAGCACCCTCTTTTCGGCCGGCAGCTCCTCTTCAGAGCCAGGCACATTGCTCCCCTGGGAGCTGGAGGGGGTCAGCGCTGACCCTCTTCTCCATCACGGCTGGGCAAGCAGCTGCCTGAGCCAGCAGGGGGCTAGGCCCTGGTGGGTGATGCTGTCCAGTGTCCTTGCAGCCTGGCTGAGGTCCTGATGTTTCAGGGCACCTGTGTCTGCCCTCACAAGGCAGCAGCAGTCCCCGGGTGGTTGGTACTGAGCAGCGGAGTCTGCCCCAGCCCCGCTGTGGGGCTCTGAGCCTCAGTCCCGGGCGTGTCCCCTGGGGATCCGTCACCTTCACGAGGGAACAGTTCCCGTTCACCAGGGACGTTTGTGTCTGCAGGGCCGACGGCTTCAAGTGCGGCTCGGACTGGACCAAGGCGATATTCAGGTGAGTGGGGCCGGGGGGCTGGCTGTACTTGGTGCTGTACGGATTGTGGCGCTGGCCAGGCCGGGGTGGGAAAAGGGGGACACCCCGCAGGGGTCACCAGAAGGGCACTCCTTGCACGAGGGCACACGCTTGTGAATGGACGTGAGGATGTGCAGTGCCAAGCCCAGCCCGTCCCTTGACACAGCCCAGGGCTCAGGCAAGGGAAGGGCCCCAGAACCAACTCGCCGGACATAGAGCAGGCAGATAATGGCCAAGTGTGTTACCAGGGCGCTGCCGGTGCCCCTCACTCCTGCCCCACAGAGCCTGCTCTCCTAGTCACAGAATCACAGAAGATGAGGGTTGGGAGAGACCTCAGGAGGTATCTAGGCCCACCCCCCGCTAAAAGCAGGACCAGCCCCAGCCAAATCAAGCCAGCCAGAGCTTTGTCTAGCCAGGACTTAAACACCCCTCGGGATGGAGATTCCACCCCCTCCCTAGGGAACCCATCCCAGTGCTTCACCACCCTCTAGGGAAATAGCTTTCCCTAATATCCATCCTACACCTCTCCCATTGTGCCAATTTTCTTCCACATATTGATCTGAGGAAGTGGGTCTGGCCCACGAAAGCTCATCACCTAATAAATCATCTTGTTAGTCTTTAAAGTGTTGCATAATTCTGTCTTTTGTTCCAAATCCCTCAGTTTCTCCTCATAGATCATGCACTGCAGCCCCCTAATCATTCTGGTCGCCCTCCGCGGGACCCTCTCCAATGCGCCCACATCCTTCCTGTAGTGGGGGGCCCAGAACTGGACACAATACTCCAGTGGCCTCAGGTAGTGCTGGGCCTGGCCACCCACGGGTCTGCCAGTGCCCTCCGGTCCTGACCTGGACTCTGCCCCCACCCAGGTCGGTGTGTGGATCTCAGTGGGGGAAGGTGTCTCTGCTCTTGTTGCCTGGTTACCACCAACCCCTACATGAGGAAGGGGTGGGAGATGGAGGCCCAGATGGGTTGAGTGCTCCCCTTCCTGGGCTGTCTGGCCCCTCCCCAGCCGTTCTCCCTCCCCCACAATGCGGCCTCCTGCTCATGTCCCAGACCAGCCAGCCAGGCCCCTGGGGAGCTCCCTTGCCCCCAGCCTGGAGGAGGAATCCCAGGAGTCAGAGGACGCCTTTGGGAGCTTTCACCAGCAGCGGCTCCTTCCCAGCCCCTCCGCCAGCAGGGCCCTGGGCTCTGCTGAAACGCCCCCGGGCTGCTTCCCAGCACGTGGGCTCCTCAGCTGGGGTGCTGCTCCAGCCCCGTGCCCTTGCGAGTGCCAGCGGCGAGCTCCCCGCTTGCAGTAGCTGCCCGGCTCGGGGCCAGGGGCTGGCAGGAGCGATCAGCTCTGTCAGGCTGTGCCGCTGACCTGCTGGGCCGGATCGATGGCGGCTATCGACTCTGACATCTCGTTAGCACGGCAGCTATTCGCCCCCGAGGGACGAGTGAGTGAGCTCATGGCTGAAGGAGCGTGGTGCTAATGGGGCCCATGTGGGCGTGTGAATTTTACCTCGGCACTGTCCCTTGAGAGCCCCTCACCGCGGCGTCTGAAGCCCCCCTCCCCCCGTCCACATGACGCCTCTGGAGCCGGAAGCACCAAGAGCCCATTGGCCCTTCCCTTCCTCCTCCTCGGGGCCAGGGCAGGGTCGTCAGCCCAGGGCTTAGCTGCTCTGACTCCAACAGGGGTGGCAGAGCTGTTGGGGAACCCTGTGGAGCCTGGCCGGGGGCCAGGCATCAAGGCCGTGTGGGTGCCAAATGCCCTCATGCCCCCTTTGCAAGCCCCACCCTGGTGGAGGGGGCAGCAGTTTTCAGGAGCACCATGCCCCCTTCCCACCCAGCACCTCGCAGCTGCCTATCTGGCCCGGCTGCAGTAACAAAACAGCTCCCCCGGTGCAGCCCTCGGCTACCAGGACCGGGCTGCCTGGGCTGGTCTGGAGCCACCGAGTGCCACGCAGGACGGAGTTTGGTCCAGACTGTTTGGGAGACCCCGTCCCGTGCGGGTCTCTTCCCGCCAGGATGAGGCCTTAGCTGTCCCAGGAATGGAGCTGGCTGGCTCACTTGTCAGACAGTCCCCCCCTTGTGCTCGGAGGGGCCACAGCTGGCCAGCAGGGGATGCCTCAGGGAATGCGTGAGGAGCAGTGGGAGGGCGATAACCCCCCTCCCGCCCCTTTGCCCCAGCTCTGAGCTCCTGTCCTGGCCTTTGCAGCTGCTGGCTGGGGCTTGAGACTTGAAGGAAAAGGGACCAAACAACCAGGCATCAGGGAAACACAGGGGAGAGCCCTGTGCTGTGCCCCTCCGAATCGCTTCTGAAAAGGGCAACAGGCCGGAAGCTCTGTGTGCAATACAGCAGTTCTCAGGAGCCTTTCCCCGCCGGGCTGTGTCCGTCGGGGCCCGATCCCGTGTGCATTCCCTGGAGCCTTTCCCCCGCCGGGCTGTGTCTGTCTGGGCCCGATCCCGTGTGCATTCCCTGGAGCCTTTCCCCCGCCGGGCTGTGTCTGTCTGGGCCCGATCCCGTGTGCATTCCCTGGAGCCTTTCCCCCGCCGGGCTGTGTCTGTCTGGGCCCGATCCCGTGTGCATTCCCTGGAGCCTTTCCCCCGCCGGGCTGTGTCTGTCTGGGCCCGATCCCGTGTGCATTCCCTGGAGCCTTTCCCCCGCCGGGCTGTGTCTGTCTGGGCCCGATCCCGTGTGCATTCCCTGGAGCCTTTCCCCCGCCGGGCTGTGTCTGTCTGGGCCCGATCCCGTGTGCATTCCCTGGAGCCTTTCCCCCGCCGGGCTGTGTCTGTCTGGGCCCGATCCCGTGTGCATTCCCTGGAGCCTTTCCCCCGCCGGGCTGTGTCTGTCTGGGCCCGATCCCGTGTGCATTCCCTGGAGCCTTTCCCCCGCCGGGCTGTGTCTGTCTGGGCCCGATCCCGTGTGCATTCCCTGGAGCCTTTCCCCCGCCGGGCTGTGTCTGTCTGGGCCCGATCCCGTGTGCATTCCCTGGATCCTTTCCCCTGCTGGGCTATGTCCGTCTGGGCCTGATCCTGTGTGCATTCCTTGGATCCTTTCCCCCGCTGGGCTATGTCCGTCTGGGCCTGATCCTGTGTGCATTCCTTGGATCCTTTCCCCCGCTGGGCTGTGTCCGTCGGGGCCCGATCCCGTGTGCATTCCCTGGATCCTTTCCCCTGCTGGGCTATGTCCGTCTGGGCCTGATCCTGTGTGCATTCCTTGGATCCTTTACCCCCCACTATGCAGTGGCTGGGCCCAATCCTGTAAATATGCACGATCTTTGCCCCCCCCCTCCCCCCAAGCCGCGCCAGTGTGTTCCCTGCCCTCAAGTTCAGAGCCCCTGTAGGATGCTGAAGCTAGTGGCCCACGTGGCCGCTGCTCACTGAGTGGTGCTGGCTGTGTAGGGGGAGGGTTGAAGGTGTCAGTCCTGGCCTCAGACCCCCCCCAGTGGTATGGGGGTTGGGTAGCAGGAGGGTTCTGATGCCTCCAGGCAAAGTGCCCAGTGCCAGGCTGTCTGGGGCGAGGATGTTAAATCAGCCAGCTCCTGCCTCTCGTCCCCTCCCCAGTCCTGCAGCAGTGTCTGCGCTCGCTCAGCGACTCCATTGCGCTCTCTAGGTAGACAGCTTCTGCCTGTGGCTGTAGCTTGTCTCCTGCCCTTGAGACAGTGGCTCCCCTCCCCAGCACGTGGATCTGCCTCCAGCTGGGGCCAGTGCACAGGGCTCAGAGGAAGGCAGAACTGCTCCAGGGTGCATCTGGTCAAATTGGACAAAGCTGGACATGGAGGTGGAGGGGGAAGTTTGTGAGATTTTTGTTTTGCTGGCGCCCGTGGATGGTCAATGAACAGCCTGGAACATGGGCTGCAGCTCCTTTTATTCTGCCCTGGGCTTTGCTGTGGCCATTAGAGACTATGAAACTCTCCAACAGCAACCTCCTGCAGCAGGGAGTTCCACAGATTTGCTGAACTCTCTAGACCAGTGGTGGGCAAAAGGGACTCTGCAGGCCGGATCCCGTCCACCAAGCCAGTTGATCCGGCCTGGGGAGGCCCTGCTGCTCTTCCTGCCCCCAGATCAATCAGGGCCTGGGAGGGTAAGCATGCAAAGTTACCTCCTACCCTAGCCCCGCCCTGCAAGGAGTGTGCAGTGCTTAGAAGCCCCATGCACTACTGACAAAGAGGGAGGAAACTTCACGCACTCCCCCCACCCTCAAGCCCTGGATGCAGCAGGGGGGAGCACGCAAAGTCTCCTCCCACTGCCAGGGGCAGGGGTGCCTACCGAGGTTCTCTCTGGGGGGTAAAGGCTTTGCATACTCCCCCACCCCTGGACCAATCAGGGTCTGTGGGTGAGGAAGCATGGAAGTGTTGTGGCCCCGCCCCTTCCGCCGGAGGCCCCACCCCTTCCAGGGTGGCCTAGGGCCACTTCAAAAATTTCTGAAGTGGCCCCCAGTCAAAGATGACTGCCCAGCCCTCCTCTAGACTCAATGTACTTGGGTTCTGTGCCTCACTGGACTGGAGTCCCTATGTCATGTGCTAGTATCAACCAGCAGAGGCATCTCTGCATATTGAACTCACCCTCTGTTCTGTTCCTTGTCCCCCCATAGCCCTGACAAGAGTTACGCCCTGGTGGGCTCCTCCAACGGCTCCCTCTACCTCTGGAACATGGAGAGCGGGAAGCTGGAAACAGTCCTGTCCGGGGAGCACAGGTGAGTGCCGCTGGCCTTAGGGCAGGTCGCTGTCCCGAAGTTAGTTCTCTGAAAACGTCGACGCAGTGTGCAGCGGTGGTCAAAAAGGCAAATAGGATGCTAGGAATTATTAAGAAAGGGATAGAAAATAAGACCCAGAATATCTTACTGCCCCTGTATAAAACTATGGTACGCCCACATCTTGAATACTGTGTACAGATGTGGTCTCCTCACCTCAAAAAAGATATTTTGGCCTTGGAAAGGATTCAGAAAAGGGCAACTAAAATGATTAGGGGTTTGGAACGGGTCCCATATGAGGAGAGGTTTAAGCGACTGGGACTTTTCAGCTTAGAAAAGAGGAGACTGAGGGGGGATATGATAGAGGTCTATAAAAGCATGAGTGGTGTGGAGAGGGTGCATAAAGAAAAGTTATTTATTAATTCCCATAATAGAAGAACTAGAGGACACCAAATGAAGTTAATGGGTAGCAGGTTTAAAACTAATAAAAGAAAGTTCTTCACACAGCGTGTAGTCAACCTGTGGAACTCCTTGCTAGAGGAGGCTGTGAAGGCTAGGACTATAATAGAGTTTAAAGAGAAGCTAGATAATTTCATGGAGGTTAGGACCATAAAAGGCGATTAGCCAGGGGATAAAATGGTGTCCTTGTCCTCTGTTTGTCAGAGGCTGGGGAGGGATGGCAGGAGACAAATCACTTGATCATTGTCTTCGGTCCACCCTCTCTGGGGCACCTGGTGTTGGCCACTGTTGGTAGACAGGATACTGGGCTAGAAGGACCTTTGGTCTGACCCAGTACGGCCGTTCTTATGTTCTTATGAGTGCGTTAAACCAGGATCCTGGAGATGGGCGGCCCCAGAGGGTCCGATCAGGAGGGAGGGATGCCGACTCCAGCTGCTCCTTGGGGAAGGAACGCAGAGTGCAGGACAGGCTCCCATGACACAGAGGATCAAAGGGAGGCGGAGGGGGGGCTGGCCAGGGGAAGAGGCTTTAAAGAAAGGCCTGTCTAGGGCACCCTGGAAGTTCCTGGCAGGGCCACATTTTGGGGGAAAGGTGGGTGGAGCCTGTTGCAACCCCAGCCCAGCCAGAGCCCAAGAACATCGGGGCACAGGGCTAAAGCACAGCAAGGTGGGGAGTGTGGATGTTTGCACCATAGCGTGATGGGGTCCTGGCAGCCCCGGGGATCCCCCTCTCCCTGCCACGGCCCTGTCCCACAGGCCCCCCATCTTCATCTCCTTTCCACGGGTCCTTGGGGGGAGTGGAGAAGGGGGAGAGTGCAGGACCAGAGTCAGGCTGCGCTGCGTGATCCTCCCCATACCTGCATTCTTCATCCCCCACCCCAAGGCTAGGGCAGGGGCTGTGCTTGGATCCAGAGGGGTGGCCTCGCAGATGCAGGCGCTGAAGGATTGAGCTTGTGCCGCTACCTCCCAGGTAGGACAGGGCGACCCAAAGGTTAAGGGAGGTGACTGGGGCCAGGACGCCATTGCTTCTGTCCCCTCTGCTTCCACCAACTCAATATGTGATCGCCGCGTGCCTCAGTTTCCCCCCTGCATGATACTGTTCCTCACAGGGTATTTTAAGATATGCAGTAACTAGCACTTGGAGAACACTTTTCAGTCAGAGATCTCTAAGCACTTTATGAAGTACGTCAGAGTCATAGATGGGGAAACTGAGGCATGGGAGGTGAGCTGACTTGCCTGAGGTTACCCAGCAGGCTAGTGACAGAGCCAGGGCCAAAACTCCAGACTCCCCCGCCCCACGCAGGTGTTCTAGACACTAGGCCACGCTGCCTCCATGGTACTCTGGGCAGATCTTCAGCTGGGATAAATCGGGGGAGCTGTGCTGGTTTACACCATTCACAGTGCTGCCCCCTCCATTGGCTGTCATATTATCCACCTCATTCCTGGGGTAACTGCCCCTCTGTCACTGATGGAGTGAATACAGGACTGGGAGCCAGGAACTCCTGAGATCTGCTCCAACCCAGGCCCTCCATGGCTTTAGCCAAACCACTTACCTGCCTGCTGCCTCAGTTTCCCCAGTGGGATAACACCCCAGTACTGCTGGAGAGCCCTAGATGGAAAGGGCAGATCCTTAGGAGCAGCCTGTTAATTCTTCTTGCCTGTGCCCTTGTCCCCCATCCAGGGCCTCCGTGAATGCCGTGGCGTGGTGCTTCTCGGGCCAGTACGTGGTGAGCGTGGACCAGGGGAGGAAGGTGGTGCTGTGGAGATAGCGCTCAGCATGCAGCCGGACTGGGGAGGAGGAATCCAGCCCCTTCTTGCCCTGCAGCCCTGCCCGGCCCCTTCCGCTACCGTTCAGCTCCCCAGGCGGACGGATGCAGACGGGTGCTGCTGTCCAGAGCCTCTGCCTCCTCTAGCAACTCCGCCCCCCACAAGCAGAGCCCGTCGGGGGACGTTCTGTCAAAGGGAGATTGTCGACAAAGGGCAGGTTTCTGGGTCCCGGCAGGAGCAGGAAGCTGCCGGTCCAGCGTCCACAGGAGCGGCCTGCCCTGCCGAGAAGGATGCTGTGTCAAGCAGGTGGAGCAGCCTGACTTGGTCGCGGGACGTGCCGTAGAGGGAGGAGCGGCGTGTGCCTGGCATTTCACCCGGAGGCGGGGGTGCTAAGCTCAGCCACACTTCTGGGCTGGGCTCAGTGCAGTGCGCACCTCCCCCCCTCCTGCAAACGGTCGCCTGGACGTGGGCGGGAGGACTCGCCGTTTCCAAGCCTGTGCGTGAGTGGCCAGGCTGCCTGGAACCTGGGCTGCGGGGCTGAGGCCGGGTCTCAGGGCCGTGCTAGCGCGTCCGCCCTGCCCAACGCAGCCCGTCTGACTCGGATCTGCCGCCTGAGCTGTTTCCACAGGACTGAGGCTCTCGCCTGCCCCCGGTAGGGCCTACGACCTGAGTGCTGGCCAAGCCCAGCCAGACTCCCGTGTGTGGACGGAACTGGGGTTTGCCTGGGCTTAGCGGGAACTGCGACCGTGCCCAGGGGCTCCTAGGCCGGGTCGCTAGGGTCTGTCCCGGCACCAATAATAAACCCTGACCAATCTGTGCCTCCCACGGGCGCCTAAGGTGAACTCTGAGTGAGTGAGTGAGTGCGGGGGGGACCTGGAGCCAATGCAATCTGTGGCCAGGATGCCACTAACTGCAGGGAGGGGCTGCCCCTTTGGATGCCAGGGACCGTCCTGGCG